CACAACTCGTCCCAAAGGTATCCACAAATTAAAAACAAAGTGGGGGGCGTACGGCGAGTATGTATGGCGGGCCCGCCTACCTACCAGGCGCCCTCATCCACAACTGGGCCTCAGCCACAACTCGTCCCAAGGGTATCCACAAATTACAAACAAAGTGGGGGGGGGGGCGTACGGCGGGCATGTTTGGCGGGCCCGCCTACCTACCAGGCGCTCTCATCCACAACTGGGCTCTCATCCACAACTCGCCGCAAAGTCACCCACTCACTGAGTAGCGCCGGGAGCGTACGGCAAGTCTGTTCGGCGGGCCCGCCTACCCTTCAGGCGCTCTCATCCACAACTGGGACCTCAGCCACAACTCGTCCCAAGAGTATCCACAAATTACAAACAAGTTGGGGGTGTACGGCGAGTATGTAAGGCGGGCCCGCCTACCTACCAGGCGCTCTCATCCACATCCGGGACCTCAGCCACAACTCGTCCTAGGGTCACCCACTCACTGGGTACCGCCGCTGGCCTACGGCGAGTCTGTTTGGCCCAGTCGTGGATGAGAGGGCCTGGTAGGTAGGCGGACCCGCTGAACAGACTTGCCGTACGCTCCCGGCGCTACTCAGTGAGTGGGTGACTTTGCGACGAGTTGTGGCTGAGGCCCAGTTGTGGATGAGAGCGCCTGCGCCTGGTAGGTAGGCGGGCACGCCATACATACTCGCCGTACGCCCCCCACTTTGTTTTTAATTTGTGGATACCTTTGGGACGAGTTGTGGCTGAGGTCCCAGTTGTGGATGAGGGCGCCTGGAGGGTAGGTGGGCCCGCGGAACATATTCGTTGCACGCCCGCGGCCGTACCCAGTGAGTGGGTGACCCTGGGATGAGTTGTGGCTGAGAGCGCCTGGAGGGTAGGCAATCGTTTTAAAAGCTGTTATTCATGTTTGGGGCCCCCTGGGCCCCATTGCGTTCGTTTTTACGCATCCGGGGACTTTCGGTTCGTTACGGACTATGTGCAGAGCATGTGCTTACCCTCTGGTTACACCTTGAAGGCTTTGGATTTCATATTACCCGAAAATTGGTGTACTATAGTCGGGTCAGATTAAGCTGACTCTGGCCGCCGGGTTTGTGGCCACAATTTTGTGGCCACAAGTAGGGACGTCAGGATTGTAGCTACAGCCGACAGTGCCCGAGTCAGTTTCAACTGAACCGTCTATAGACGAATTTATTACTTCCGCCACTGCTAGAACATCAACC